TAACTTAATCACATCTGCAAAATCTTTGCCATAAAAGATAATGTCTGGGTTCCGGGGATTAACAGCTGGTATCTTTGGGGGCTATGATTTAGGCTACCACAGAGTCTGGATTTGGGATCAGAACATACTTGAGTGTGAGTCTCAGCTTGACATTTTACTAGGTCTGTAACTTGAGAAGCTATTTATTTTTACTCTGTCTTTATAGCCTTACTTATAAAATGGAGAAAATATTAACCTGATGGTTATTTTGGTGATGCTTCAGTAAGAAAATCTACGTAAATATTCCTGATACTGCTACACACGGCGTTAGTAAGACTGGTTCTCCTCCCTTTTGTCCTTCATACTTTGTCCCTTCCTTCGGCTCAGGTCATGGTCCCAGGGTCCTGGGATCGAGCTCCGCATCGGGCTCCCTGCTCCGCGGGAAGCCTGCTTCTCCCTCTCCCTCTCCCCCTGCTTGTGTTCCCTCTCTCGCTGTGTCTCTCTCTGTCAAATAAATAAATAAAATCTTTAAAAAAAAAAAGTTTAGGGTTTTCTCAGCCAATACTTTTTTCCCCCAGTCTTCTCAAGGAGGAAGTTGGTCAAATAAATCACCAAAAGATCTGCACCTCTTAAAAGATGTGGAAATATTAAAAGATATGAAGTGTCAAAGGCAGTGAAGGTGGTCATCTTATAGTCCCAAACCCCTGCCCCAGGTAATAGTTGGATTTTTGACTTGTGTGTTGATGAGATGACATATTCCTTCCTTCACAGGGAGGAGAAAGGCCCGAGTCACAGAAGCTCTAGGACAGCTGGTTCTATGGCAGAGAAGTTGCTTAGGTCTTGTGGGAGCCAATGGTGTCTCAGACACCCGTGGTTGTGTGTGGACTCAGGGGCATCTTCCTGGAACACGAAGTAGGGATAATGGACATTGGCATTCCCTGGGAAAGAGCACATTTCTCTGTACATGCTGTCCCTTTTGCCTCACCAAACACTAGAATTATCTGGTGGAGCAGATGAAGGTGGGAACGTGGGCAGCAGTAGCAAAGCCTCCAGGAGGATGTTGTTTCAGGACTGGCTGCCTTCGAGAAGGCTCTGGATTAGGGCCATAGCCAGCCTGGATCCAAGGTGTCCTCAAGGATAAGGCAACAGTACACAGAGACTTGGACAGAAATGTAATAGCAGGGGGGTCTGAGCCGCTCAGTAGGTTGAGCGTTTGACTCTTGATTTTGGCTCAGGTCATGATCTCAGGGTCATGAGATCGAGCCCCAGGTCAGGCTGTGCGCTCAGTGCTCAGTGGAGAGTCTGCTTGAGATTCTCTTCCTCTGCCCTTCCTCCCATTTGCACACACTCTCTCGAAAAGAAATAAATCTTTTTAAAAAAAAATGTAACAGCAGCAACAACAAAATACAGCAAAATCATCACTCTCCTCAAATTCTCAATACGTGTAGTTAATGGATTTAAAGATGTCAAAGGAGATTAAAAAACAAAAAATTTAGATTTGATGTCAAGTAACTTTATATTTTTAAATCGTACTCTCATGTTTGTAAATTGAAGGAAAGCTGCTTCTCCTGCCGCATCTGTCCTCTGGTGGTGAGGAGGATATGAGATGATAAATGAGAAAAGGTGGTTTACAATACACTGGAATGGCGTTACAAACATGGCGGATCCGGAACAGCAGTCTGTGTCTCTCACCTGCAGGGCAGAGAAGGAGATCCCCGGAGTCCGGCGAGGGCGGCCCCCACGTACCTGGGAAGATGGACTGAACCCGAAAAATCTTTCAGGTAGCAGAGACTCGAATCTCTAAGTGGGGGTTCAGGTAAACAAAGAGGTAGTTTTGTTCTGGAACTAGGATGAAGGCATGCATGGAAGCCATGCAGAGTTGTTTCCTTTTTGATCAAAGAAACTGAGACTGAAGGAACCTTGTGGTGAGCATGGGGACAGACAGTAGGGAACGGAAGAAAGAGGAAAGCAGTCGGAGAGAATGGAGTTCTTATCTCTGAATGGAAGCTTACTTTGTGTTTCTGAGAGCTGCTCGAACAAAGGGACACAAACTAAGTGGCTGAGAACATGGCAATGTATTGTCTCACGGTCCTGGGAGCTAGGCATCTCTTTGGCTCTGCTCCCTCTGCAGCCCGTTGGGAAGGAGCCTTCCTTGCCTCTCCCCATGTCTGGTGGCCCCATACCATCCTTAGTTCGTGGCAGCCTGACTTCAGTCTCTGTCCCTGTCTTTACAGGACAGCCTCACACGATGCTCTTCTTACAAAGAGCCTACTCGAGTATGACCTCACCTTAACTAATCCCACTGGCAGCAATCCTATTTTATCCTATTTTAAAATAAGATCACATTCCAAGGTACAGAGGGTTAGGACTTCAATATATCTTTTGGGGGGAACATAGTTCAGCCCACAACACCCTAGAACCTGGTGCAGATCATTGCTTCCCTTAGGACTCCTGCTTATGTCCTTTAAAAACTGCTCCATCTTGACTGGGTCACAGAAACGGTGACTGAGACAAACTGATCTGAGTCTCACCCTTTGCTGCCCTCGGCTACTTGTGAAAGGCAGCAGGCCTGGTCTTGGGTCCAATTCAAAGCCTGGTCAAGCTGTTCAGGATCTGATCTGTGACTCGGTTACTCTCAGGTTACCAATGAAGTCTCGTTTGATAAAATTGTGTTCTATCATTTTGAATAAAAATAGGTCATTAATATATCAAGATATCTTTCAGGAAGGATCCCAAAGTATTGGCTCAGATTTTGCCTAAAATGTCAAGAATTGACACCTCAGTGGGTGGATTTTGGGTGATGGAGCCAGTTCAATACGCCAGAAACATAACATTTATGGAGGGAAGTATACCCCTGGAAATTTGCCCAGCGTCACATCCAGAGTGCTCCAGGGGAGAATTTCAAATTAACGGTGTAAGAATTAGGGAGGAACCAAAGCATTTTTAACATAAGAGTGATGTCAACAAAGTTGATCTTTAGAAAATTATACAACAGAGGGGCTCAGCCAGTGAAGTGTCTGCCTTCAGCTCAGGTCATGATCCTGGGGTCCTGGGACCAAGCCTCTCTTCCTCTCTCTCTGCGCCCCCCTCATGCTTTCTCTCTCTCTTTTTCTCTAATAAATAAATAAAATCTTTAAAACAAATCATACAGCAGAGGCAGAGTGTGGGGAAGGAAGGAGACAAGCGAAGCGGCAAAAGCAAGATTCCTGGAAGCAGGTCAGGGAAGTGGGCTCTGGAGGCCGGAAGGGGAATTGTAGCTCCAAGATACCCTCCAGGGGACCAGAGACATGTTCCTCTTGCCCGGTGTGCGCTCCACGCCTTCACTTCTCGCTGCTGGAGGCCAAGACCCACAGTGCCCAGAAGTTTGTCCGGAATGTTCGAGCAGGAACCTGGGCAGTTGGAGTTTCAGCCATTGGACCTGCCGCTGAGCTGTCATGAAGCGTCTCCCCGTGACTGCAAGACGAGCCGAGCACAGGTACAGGTCTCAGTGAGGACCTCGGCACAACCGAAGCAGAGCGAGGGATCGACAGCAGCAACCCAGAGTTGGCTTTCATTTCACCATTACGTCCCAGAGCTCTCCTCTGGCTTCAGTTTTCTCAAGTGTCAAGCTGAGTGTGGGAATGGTTGCTTACCTGTGCCCTGCGCTGGTCTGAGTCCTTTAGAGTGATGATCCCTGCTCAAAGAGGCCCTAGCAGGCCGACTCCAGTAATCAGCCTGATTTTACAGATGGGAAGACCAAGGCCCAGAGACACGAACTCTGGCTGAGGCAAGGAGCTAGGCAGTGGCACACACAGGTCTTGATGTCAGTGGTCTCTCTGTCACCTCACAGTTTCAGCTCCAGCCATTTTTGTGAACTGAGACCCGGGAGAGGCCAAAGAGCCTGGCAGCGTGCCTAGGTCTGCGCCCGAGGAGGGCGCCTTCTGCAAATGCCCTGGGAACGCGCAAGGCAGGATCGGGCGCCAGCGACCAGGCCAGTTTACATACAGGCCTTTGAGAAGAGCTCAGAAATCTGCGCCAACAGCAAGCTTGGCTTCCAACGGGTCCCCAAGCATTCAACCCGAGCCCCCTTCAGTTCCAGGAGCAGAGCGCGCCCTGTGCGTGAACCTGGCAGGGCCGGACTGGGAGGGGCTTCGCGCTCGGCAGGAAGGAGTTATCACCCCAGGGCACAAGGGACTTCAGCGCAGCCCAGCCGGCCGTGAAGCCCGTGGGGGCTGCTGACAGCGGGCTGGGGGCGCTTTCCGCTCGCTCCCATGAGGGCCTCACCGCAGGGCTTGGGGGGAGCGGGTCAGAGACGACTGCAGCGAAGGGGACTGCAGCCCGGGGCCGTCCCGGACTCAGTTCAGGGCTTTGTGCCGGTGTCCTCCCTCGGCGGATGTGCCCCGCCGCAGGACCTGCGCCAGCAAGCTCCCGGCCAGGGAACCGGTGGCCGGGCAGAGCGCGTGACACACCCTGGCCCCGCGGCCGGACTTCATCGTTAGGAAACTGTGCTGTGACTCTGACGGAAGTTTGAGAGACGGGACGGAGGGTGAACGTCATCCGGGACCACGATTCTCAAACTTTACTGTGCATATACGTCATGTGACAGTCCTGTTTTTAAAAAAGCAGATTCTGATTCCGTGGATGCGGAGCGAGCCCCTAGAAGGCGCGGGTCCCTTGGGGAGGGTGGACACAGCACTTCTGGTTCCAAGGAGAGAGGCCTCCACCGCCACCCGCCGGGACACGTGCGCCACGACAGGTGCAGGTCTCCTCCCGAACGCACGCGGGTTGGGGGAGGGGAGGCGGAGCGGCGGGGCTGGTGGAGGGGGCGCGAGGGCTGGGGAGAAGGCCAGTGGGGAGGGGAGGAGAGGGACCGTGGGGAGGGGGCAGGTGCATGCGCGTGCGTGCGTGCGTGAGTGAGTGTGCGCGCGTGCACGCTGCTCTGCGATTGGAGGGCGCGTCTTCGCTCCGATCCCACCAGGGGCTCAAAAGGGGCCGAGGCGCTCGGGGCGCCGCAGACCCGCCTGGCCTTGTGCGCACGAGCCATGCTCCAGCAGCTCTGGGCGTCGTGGCTTTTCCCACTGTTCCTGGCCGGCCTCGCCCAGCCGACCCAGAAGATGAAGGTGAGTGTCCCGTTGGGGACCCAGCGGACTGCAGCACCTGATGCCTGGCCAGGTCTCGGGGGATGCGAGGAGTCCTCCCTCGTCCTCTCCAAGGCCGGGACCGCCTCCCGAGCTCTGCAGACCCCGGCCGCTGCGTCTCCAAGGCGGGGGCTCCGCAAAGCCGACTCCCTTACGCGGACCTTCTCCGTCCCTGGGAGGTCGTGGAACCTCAGGTGGACGGAGGGCCGAGGCTGCTGTCGTGCCCGCCCCTCCGCCGCTGCCGCTGCCCCTGCTCTGAGCTCGGGGCAGCCTTGTGGGTCCGGGAAACGGGACACGTAGGGGCAAGGGGAGTGGGAGGGAGGGCGGCTGCCCGGCTTCCTCAGACAGCTGAGACCCGGGGCGGGGGAAGAGCAGCCAGCTGATGCTGGAATGTACTCTGGGGAGTGTCAGGGTCAGCGAAGAGGGGCTTCCCCCCTCCCCCGGGGGATAACAAAACCCAGAAGGCCAGGGTAGCTGTTGGCCAATTTTAATTTTAGGGGAGGTGGGGTGGTGAGCGGGGTGGGGGTGGGTAGTGGGGGAGAACAAAGCTCGGACCAGAGTAAGAGGATTTGCTCTTAGGTTTCGGTGGTGCCCTTGATCGCCTGATGCCCTTGGGGAAAAAATCGCCACCCTGGAGGTCAGTAGCCGCCCTGTAAGAAACGTTGGTATATATATGCCTTAGGACGCAGGGTGGCGATTCCAGTGGGTGACGTGAGGTACCAACAGGTTTTAACTTTAAAACCAGACAAACTCATTCAAAAACTCAGCCTCATTTGTGGATTTAAACCAGTTACATGTTTTTTATTAGCTCCCTTCCCCCCTCCCCCATAGAAGGTGGATGGAGAATATCCGTGGTTGAGTGCAGTGATCCCCAGACAAGAATCATTTGGGGGGCTTGTTAAAGCACAGGGTGCTGGGTCCCACCTGATGTGGGGCGGTGAGCGAAGAGTCAAGAAAGCATTCTTGACATGTTTTCAGTGCAAAAGATGCTTTATTACAGCACAGGGACAGGACCCGTGGGCAGGACGAACTGCACTGCGGCTGTGAGGAGTGACTGATCACATACTTTTTAGTTAGTGGTGGTTAGGGATAGCGTAAATGTCTAAGGAATTTGGAAATAAGGCTTCCAGGACCTTGAGGGGCTAGCTGCTGTTAGGATAAAGTTATTTACTACTGCCTAGTAAAACATTAGTCATGAGACCCTTAAGATGTGTATCAGTGGGCCATGTGCTTGGAGGATTGCTGGTTTTACTGTTACAAAAGTGAAGTTACACTAATCAGAGCAAAGCTATACTGGTAAAGTGTTAAAGGAGCTGTAGGAGTGTTACAATGTGTATGCCTCAGGAACTCTGCCTGGAGACTGGGAGCTGAGCTGAAGCAAAGCACCGCCTTGGTTCCTTTTCTCCAATCCCCACCCACAATGTTTCTGATTCAGCGGATCTCAGGAGAACCAGGAACTTGCATTTCTTTCTTTTTTTTTTTTTTAATTCAAGTTAGTTAACATATAGTGAAGTATTGGTTTTAGGAGTAAAATTTAGTGATTCATCACTTACAAACGACACCCAGAGCTCATCACAGCAGGTGCCCTCCTTAATGTCCATCCCCCATCTAGCCCATCCCCACCCACCTCCCCTCCAGCAATCCCTCAGTTTGTTCTCTTAACTATAGAGTCTTACGGTTTGCCTTCTTCTCTGTTTTTATCTTATTTTATCTTTTCCTTCCCTTCCCCTATGTTCCACTGTTTTGTTTCTGAAATTCCACATATGAGTGAAACCATATGATAATTGTCTTTCTCTGACTTACTTTGCTCACCATAATACCCTCTAGTTCTATCCACGTCGTTGCAAATGGCAAGATTTCATTCTTTCTGATGGCTGAGTACTATTCCATTGTATATATATACCACATCTTCTTTATCCATTCATCTGTCAGTGGACATCTGGGCTCTCCTCATAGTTTGACTGTTGTTGATAATGCTGCTATAAACATTGGGATGCATGTACTCCTTTGAATCTGTATTTTTGTATATTTGGGATAAATACCCAGTAGTGCAATTGCTGGGTCATAGGGTAGCTCTATTTTCAACTTTTTGAGGAACCTCCATACTGTTTTCCAGAGTGGTTGCACCAGCTTGCATTCCCACCACCGGTGTGGGAGGGTTCCCCTTTCTCCAAGTCCTCGCCAACATCTGTCATTTCCTGACTTGTTAATTTTAGCCATTCTGCCTGGTGTGAGGTGGTATCTCATTGAGGTTTTCATTTGTATTTCCCTGATGATGTGGAGCATCTTTTCATGTGTCTGTTGGCCATCTGGATGTCTTCTTTGGAGAAGTGTCTCAGGAACTTGCATTTCTAATATGCCTTGGTGATACTTGTTCAGGTCTTCAAACTGCTCTGAGTGCTCTGTTTTTGGTTCCCTGGGACGTGTAAGATGATGCACATAAAATGCTCCAAGACCAGCATTTGTAAGACCATCTCCCCTCTATGAAATAAAAACAAGGCAACCTATAGGGGGCGTCCAGGTCTATGTCAGCCACTACTGCCTGCTTGGGGGGCAATTCCAGCCGTAGAAAGCCATTTTGTGAATAAAAGGCTGCATTTTTGAGTATCAGATCCCTTCAAACTGGAGCAGAACTGACCTCGGAGTCGGAAAGATCCAGCCCTTCCTGTCTACAGTTTTCTTGGGATTCTACATCCCAGTTTGCGGGGCGTTATCCATTGAGAGACCAAAGCTGGGAGCATCACAAAGTGCTTGTCCTGCCCCGCCTCCCCACAGGCTTTTTTTTTTTTTTTAAGATTTTATTTTTTAAGTAATCTCTACACCCAACATAGGGCTCGAACTCACAACCCCAAACCCCAAGATCAAGAGTCGCACGCCCTACTGACTAAGCCAGCTAGGCGTCCCCCACACAGAAAGGATTTTAACTTATAAGACACACATTCTAGTGGTGGCCTCACCATAACTAAAAATATTACTGGAAAAAGTCTCTTTGGTTCTTAGAATTTCGAGGTATTACATGAAAGATCTCTGAGCGCTTTGCAAAAGTCCACGCGTGTTGGGGGTTATTGTTTATCTTATTATCACATCATTGTGGTTTTGTTACATTCCAGATGGATTGCTACAAGGGGGTGACGGGCACCATCTATGAGTATGGAGCCCTCAGCCTCAATGAAGAGGAGCACATTCCGTTCAAGCGGTACGCGGGCAAGCACGTCCTCTTTGTCAACGTGGCTACCTACTGTGGCCTGACAGCTCAGTACCCCGGTAAGAGCTCAGGTTTCAATTCCTCTGGAACTAGCTTTGTCAGATGGCCGTATTCTAATTCCAGAAGTTTTCCTAATTTATTATTGGGAGGAGCGGAGTGAGGGGGGGATAGGTGATCATGGGAGTCTGTCCCCCTAAATCCTGTCACTGCTGTACTCCTTAGGAGGACAAGAGTGTTATCTACAGATTTGAGAAATAAGATTCTCCCAAAGATTTCATCAAAGACCACCAGGAACGTACCTATCACTGAACAAGTGGGGTTTGTTGCTCGATGCCCTGAGGGAGAACGTGTACTCTAGGGAACCATGGGGCTTCTCATTAAGAAAGTGCTAGAAAGAACTTATTTGAGCATCTGGGCTTGTGTTAGGTGCTTTGGGGAAGGATTCGAGGAACTGAAGCTTTGCACTGAATTGGTTGCTGTCAGGAAATGAGGAAATGGGGAGAATTCTGTGACTGTGATTCAGATATGTCTTAATAAATCGTTATCTACAAGGTCGTAGGAATACAGCTCTAAAACTGTAGCTGGCAAAGAAGCAGAAGTCACTTACACTGGCAAGAATAGGGAGATGCTTGGCCATTTTTGCAATTTGGACAAGGTTCATGTTTTGTCTGTGTTAAAATATGATTATGGAGTGGTCTTGTGTTTGTCTTGACTTATCATGATCACTGTGACCATGATGTTGTGTGATATTGATGTCCTGTGAAATTGGTTGTTTTTTTTTTTTTTTAAGATTTTATTTATTTGTCAGAGAGAGAAAGCACGCGCACAAGCAGGGGGAGCAGCAGAGGGAGAGGGAGAAGCAGGCTTTCCTGCTAAGCAAGGAGCCCGATGCGGGACTAGATCCCAGGACCCTGGGACCATGGTGGGATCATGGCTCAGGATCATGACCTGAGCTGAAGGCAAGGCGCTTAACTGACTGAGCCACCCAGGTGCCCCTGTGAAATTAACAGGAGGACACAAAGCCCTAGCTATGACCCCAGGCCAGAGTGTAGCTTTCGAGGGGCTGCCTTTATCCTTCTCATTGGTGACTTCTAGGAACACTAGCAGAGAGGACAGATCTTGGATCTTTTGGAAAATGCTCTTGGATTCCGCAGCGCCCCCCCCCCCCCGCCCCGCGACAGAGAAGAGGGAAATGTAGCTCTCTCATGGGTAATCTTTAGTGTGATGGCTATTTGGAAAGATGCTCCCTCTCCAAGTGTGGCCTGACCTTCTTCTAGATGACTGAAGTGGATTTTCTTTGTGCACTCATGGGGAGGAATTTGGTTTCCATGTTGATCTAGAAAAGGTTATTTGAAGTTTCAGATGGATTGTAATAGAGATAAATGCAGTTTCTGACATGCCACAGACTTAATTTTTCTGCTTTTTTAAAATGCTTTTTTCAAGATTAATGCAAAAGGTTAATTGTACCAAATGCCACAAAGAAATGAGTCAAAATAATACGTGAGCAGTTTTTAAGAAAAATTTTCCACATGTTGACATTGGTGTCTAGTCAACTGATCAAAAATATAAAGTCCCATCAATTTGTCTTTTTTCCCCATCAATTTGTCTTAGTGGGATTTCAGTGCTAAGAAATCCAAGAATTTTCTTTTTTTAACACCACTTAAATTTAAGTATATTGCAATCTTACCTCTAAGATACATGGCTCACTAAATTTTGATATTTTAAAATTAACATTCAGGGGCTCCTGGGTGGCTTAGTCGGTTAAGCGACTTGATTTCAGCTCAGGTTTTTATCTCAGGGTGGTGAGATTGAGCCAGTGCAAAGCCTGATTAAGATTCTCTCTCTCCCTCTGCCCCTCCCCACCCCACTCACACTGTCTCTCTAAAAAGAAAAAAAAAAAGGAACAGTCAGCGGATGCTATGGTCTGAATGTTTGTGTCCCCCCAAAATTCATATGTTGAAATCCCAATGCGCAATATGATGGTAACAGGAGGTGGGGCCTTCAGGAGATGTTGAGGTCATGAGGGTGGAACCTCCATGAGTGGAATGAGTGCTTTTATAAAAAGAGACCGCATAGAACCCCTCAGCCCTTGCACCATGGGAGGACACAGTGAGAAGCCTGAAGTCTGCAACCTAGTAGAGGGCCTTTGCTAGAACCCCACCATATTAACACCATGATCTTGGACTTCCAGAACTGTGAGGAATAAGTTCTTATTGTTCACAAGCCCCTTGGTCTATCGTATTTGTTATAGCAGCCTAAAAGGACTAATACAGAGCGGGTGCTTGATTTAGGGAAAAGTTATATTGAAATAGCCCGTCCTGGGGCGCCTGGGTGGCTCAGCTGTTAAGCGTCTGCCTTCGGCTCAGGTCATGATCCCAGGGTCCTGGGATTGAGCCCCACATTGGGCTCCCTGCTTGTGTTCCCTCTCTCGCTGTGTCTCTCTCTGTCAAATACATAAAATATTAAAAAAAAAAAAAAGAAATAGCCCCTCCTTCAAAGATAACAAAAAACAAATGGCTCACATTCACCAAGAGAACCTAAAGACTTTTTAAATTTAATGGTGAAATTGTGCGTAAAAAGATATTTTCAGAAATGCAGATTATAGGAAGATGTGACATTTAAAAGAATTTTGGGGTCACTTTATATTTATTACTTTTATGTATAATCAGCCCTAGGGAGAACCTGAAAAGCTACAGACTAAATCTTTATTTAATTTATATAAAATCTCAGGATCTAATTATAAGAGCCTAAACAACAGTTTAGTATCATTTAGCAAGTACGGGTTTTCCTCCCTTCAAAAAGTTAAATTTGAGGGGCGCCTGGGTGGCTCAGATGGTTAAGCGTCTGCCTTCAGCTCAGGTCATGATCCCAGGGTCCTGGGATGGGGTCCCGCATCAGGCTACCTGCTAGGCGGGGAGCCTGCTTCTCCCTCTGCCTCTCTCTCTCTCACTCTCATGAATAAATAAATAAAACATTTAGAAAAAAAAAAGTTAAATTTGAAGAAAAATATGGTAAGTTTAAAAAGTTGTGATATATAAACAGCAGTTCCGTGGAATGTGAATCTGCTTTTAAATCTGTTTCAATTTAAATTTGTGTTGAATAGGGAATATATTCACATTGAAAATTTAAAAGATGCAAAAGGGTTTAAGAGTGAAAACTTCCAGGGGGTGCCTGGGTGGCTCAGTTGGTTGAGTGCCTGACTCTTTGTTTCAGCTCAGGTCTTGATCTCAGGATTGTGAGTTCAAGCCCTGTGTTGGGCTCCATGTTTTAAAAAAAAAAAAAAAAGTGCGAACTCCCACCTTTCTTCTTTTTGGGTAACCAGGGTTATCAGTTTATGGTGTATATTTTCATAAATCTTTAATGTACAGGCAAGCAAATCTCTCTCTCATATATGCAAATACACACGCAGCTGATTCTGCACCTTGCTTTTTCACATGATACAATATCTCAGATATTCTTCTCTATCGATACATGAGTTTCCTCATTTATTTGAAGCCACAGTTTTCCTCTCTGTTGCTGTGACGTAACTTACTAAATTAGAACATGAGAATTTTAAAAAGTGTCTCATTCAGATTTTACTCCAGACGCGGAAATTGAGAGTTGAAGGCCTCTGCGGGAGGACTAGAAGCAGGGTCTACTGAGTGTTTCTGCCCTAGGAAGGACGTATTCTTGATGGGGGACGAGGAAGGCGAGTATCGATGGTAACTGAGAAACCTATGGCGGCAGGAAGGCACCGTCCTTTAAGCCGAGGGCTTTAGGGGAGACAGCAGCAGGTGGAGCTGAGTCTGGGTGGGGCCGGCGGGCCCCGGGACTGAATCAGTCGGGACTGAGAGTGGCTGACGGTGGAAACACTGGTACGGGTCTAGACAAACAGGTTGGAAGCCCTCCTGGCGTCAGTAGAAAGCAGTCTGGAGTTTGTAGCCTGGAACCCCAGTGAGAGTCCCGGGGAGATGGCATCGGTTAGGTCACTGCAGTTGACAAGAGAGTAGAGAATGCTCCGGAGCCGGGCTCAGATTTCTGCTTCCCTCCACAGCGCCCAGGTGAGGGGACCAAACAGTGCTCCTGGGAGGATGACTGGGGTGTCAGGTGTGTCATCGTGGGGCACAAAGGGGCAGGGGGAGCAGGTCCATTTTGTTTGCCTTCTTCTTAAAAACGTTTGATCAGTCAGTCGATCCCCACTAAGGAAGCTGACCTGGCACTTAACTTTTAATTCCCTTCAGAATCCAGCAGGCCTCCCGCCCCACCCACGGGCTAACCCATCTGTGCTCTCTAGGGGCGCGCCTCCTGGATGGTGCAGTGGGGCCACGTAGGGAACTGCCACACAAGAAAGATCGCAGCTCTCTGGGTGTGTTTCTGGCAACCTGTGTTCTAGCTTTGTGCTCTGCCTCCCCAGTCTCTGTAATCTCCAGCCTTCCCCTTACAGTCCTCACTGTGCGCGTGTGACAAATGGACATGTGCCGAGGTCCCCTGCTGCTCCAGGCCGGGCTGCCCACGCTGCTCATTGTCTCCCCGCAGAACTGAATGCACTGCAGGACGAGCTGAAGCCTTCTGGTGTCGTCGTGCTGGGCTTTCCCTGCAACCAGTTTGGAAAACAAGAACCAGGAAAGAACTCAGAGATCCTTTCTGGGCTCAAGTGAGTGCCGGCCCGGGACCCTGCACAGGCCCTGTCAGGACTTCCCTTCCTCCTTCTGCCTGGAGGCCTCTTCTTCTGGAAGCTTCTGGGGCGGGTGGTGGATCATTGGGTTCAGGAACATCCTTGTGAAGCTTCACGTGCAAGCTTGCGTGGCTGGCGATGCCCACGCGTTCGCTCTGCCTCGAGTTCTTGATGGTGACACTAGGGGAGTATGGACGGGAAAAGCAGTGCAGGGCAAAGGAGGGGCTGTGGGAAATAGAAATGAATCGGGAATCCTGAGCTTCAAATACTGCCTTCCAGCCTACTGGCTCCCTAAAGCATGAAGTCCTGACCCCCAGACATCTTTCTTTCCTCACCTTCCCTGTCCACCGTCTCTCTCTCTTTATCTCTAACTTCCTTTTGTGGAGTTGTGGTGGCCGTTACCAAACTCCTTGTCCTAACTTGGACCCTCTTGGGAACACTCTGGTTCATTGCAGGTATGTGCGTCCGGGTGGTGGCTTTGTCCCCAATTTTCAGCTCTTTGAGAAAGGGGATGTGAATGGAGAAAAAGAACAGAAGGTCTTTACCTTCCTGAAGGTGAGTGACCACCCACCTGCCTTGAATTGGTCAGGTAGGTAGAGATTCCCCTGAAAGCATGGGGCTCATTTCTAGGTTTGAGATTGGACTCCTTGGAAAGAAATGCTCAGATAAGTTCAGGAATCATGTAAGATCCACTGTGAGCCGTGAGCTTCAAGTACAGGCCACCAAGCGTGGCAGCTGTGATGGGGACCGATGCCCCCAAATGAACGGCAATGATTGGTTCATTGACCATCAGTCATAGAATCTCTCGTAGGTGCGAGAAGCTGTGCCACACAGGGAGCCCAGACCTACTAAGGGGCCCAGCCCCTCCCTGGGGGACCCCTATGCAATCGGGGAGACAGACGTGGAGCACAGAGTGGAGAGTGCCATGTGGTAATGGACCAGGGAGCCACTGAGTGTTAGAACCACGGAAGACCACAGAACCACCCGAAGTCCTCTTAGGCTGGCCCGCCAAACAAGTCTGGTCCTTGTTGAAATTTTCATCCATCCATGGCAAACTGAAAAAAACCCCACAATGTGCGGAGTTTTTTGCAAAGCTCAATTTATTGAATATAAAAAACCATCATTTATTCTGATACTAAATTAATATTTGGTTAAATCATACAAATTACCATTTGTGTGGTACCAAAAATGGTGATACGATCAATTTTATTTTCTTCAACCTAATACTTAAAAATCTGTTAATTTTTAAATTTACAGTTTTGGTCGACTTTTGATTTTTCTTATTGTCAAAATAAATGTTGGTTATTTTACATTAATCTCCAAAAAATAGTTATTGAACTTTTACCAGACTATGAAGCCCAACTCTGGGAACGACTACTCTAAACCAAACCATTTTTTTTTTCCAGCTAAGAAACCTGAAGCTATAGAATGATATGACTTATCAAAGAAAACAGAAGATAGTATTTTACTGACACACCATGATATAATCCTGGGAGGGGCGGACAGGGAAGGGAGGAATATTTTCTGTTTACGGTCATACTCTCTAGCTCTTGGTTGATTGCTAGTTGCTATGTTGGTAATGTTGCATTGAGATATCTGTGGTTCATTGGGAGCATGTCAGGTAGTCAATATGTTGACACGCAGGATGGTGAGTAGATTCTTCTAGGGTTGGGGGTAAAACTGGATCACAGAGAAGCAGAAAAAAAAACTACTATTTTTCCTCTCTCTGCTCCAGAACTCCTGCCCTCCAACCTCTGATCTTTTGGGCTCAGCAAGCCAACTCTTCTGGGAGCCCATGAAGGTCCACGACATCCGCTGGAACTTTGAGAAGTTCCTGGTGGGGCCTGATGGAGTCCCTGTCATGCGCTGGTTCCACAAGGCTCCCATCAGCACGGTCAAGTCAGACATCCTGGAGTACCTGAAACAGTCCAAAACCAAGTAGAAAGGGCCAGAGACCGTCAGAAGTGGCTACCTGCCTCCCACCTAAAGAACATGCTTAACCCTGGATCCGTCTTTGCTCCGCGTTCCTTCCCACCCAGTGTCCCTGTAACCAAACCATCCTGTATCCCCCAAGTGTGTGTGTGCACTGGTGTACACACGTTCATGAGTGTGTTGGAGAACAAGGGAAAGAACACCTTTGTCCCCAACTCTCTGCTCCCAAAATGTCAAGTTTTTTCCACTCCATCCCAAAGGAAAAACATATTTCAGGGTAGATGGTTCAGATGACCCAATGTCCCTAAAAAGGCAATGCCCAGAAGTTCTGACATCTGTCCTTTCTCCATCCTGAAGGTTTAAAGAAGCAGAAACTGGACGACTCTCAAGATCCCCTTTCTTCCAAGATAAACCTGCGTCGTGAAGCCCTTCCTGTCCCCAGTGCAGTCTTCGCTCCCCCCAGTGCCCTGTAGTTCTCTTTCTTACAGGATCTCCAAAGGCTGGCCTCACATGAAAGGAAGGGCATCTCCATGATGGTGGGTCCCCAAACCCCTCTGGGTCGGACCCTACCAGAGCCTTCCTTGGTGCCTGTCCCTTGTGCATTCAGGCCACGGCACCTGGGCAGGGATGTCCCTTCATTCTGAAGGATGGGCTTTCCCCTCACCCTGAGCTGCTCCACCTTCAAACTCCTTCTTATCACTGTCTCAAATAAAGAGAATTCTGCAGCAGTGGGCTTCCCTCAGTGTTTTCCCACCCCCATATTATGTCCGGGACGTCTTCCTCTCTCACTTGGTCCCTGCTTCCTCTGATCCGTCACCTAGCTCCTCAAACGCCCATCCAGACACCAGGTGGGGCTGGCTGCTGGGGACCGCTGTGAGGGGCGGACACCGGCCTCCTAGAGCCCGCTGCCCCCATCCCGTTCCGGTCTCCTGGGGTCCCACCTGCCAGGTAGCCTTGCTTTCTCGAAACAACAGCGACACAGACGTTCTTCTGCCTATAAAATTCCTGCTCATTGTTAAAAACCTAAAAACACATAAGAACAGGAGAAAAGTATACCAAAACCTCCTCCTAATCCGAGAAGTAGAGAACGTGCCAGGAAGCCCTGTGTAAAGGCTGTTTTTTCATCATAGTTCAGTCTTTTATGTGAGGACGGATTTCAGAATATCAGAAACTAAGAGAAGCTGGTACGAGGAAGTGAAATGAAATAGCTGTTTTCTCCCTTTCAAAAATTACTTTGAACATATTTCAAATATTTTTTGCCCTTTAAATTCTTTGTACTTTAAAATGTTATTTTGCACTTGAAAAGTGGAATTTAAATATCCGTGGTAACATGAGACCCTGTAATCCCGTTGTGTACAAAATGGAATGATCCCGGATTTAAACTTTATACAGCAACATGAAAACCAGGGGTGACAAGGAAAGCGACTCCAGCTTCCAGAACGAACACAGGCACTCTGGAAGCCCTGGGACCACCAGTGATGATGCGGTCCTCAGGGAAGACAGGGCGTCTACGCAGTAACAGCCACGAGGGAGACCTGGGGTCTCAGCTCCAGGAGTGGGCTGCTTCTAACATTCAGAGGTGGTAGACACACATGGAAAATTTAGTCTTCTTGCATTGAGAATCTAGTAAGGAAAGAAAGTGGCAGTCTGTGGCCATACGCACAGGATGTGAGACTTCCGTGGGACTCAGGGCCCCAGCAGAGTCGTGAGGCAGTGAGGGGACCCCGGAGCCTGTTTGCGGTGGTGTGGAGAATTGGGTCTCATTGTTGAGCTTCTTCTGGGTCTCTGGTGTTCTTGAGAACCCCCGGGACCTTAGCAGTCCTCAGAAGGGGTCCAAATCCGTTACTGTTTTCAGATCAGAAGCGTCAGGGTCCAGGCGGTGGGTGGAGGAGGGTGCACAGTGTATGGGTTCAGCCCAACCCAGAGAACTGCATTTGCTGTACGGAAGTGAATCCTCCAGGGGAGCAGCGTTCCCTGCCCCATGGAAAAGTCCTGAAGTAATGAAGGAGGGGGGCTTGGCTTCCACGGGAGGGCATTCTGCTGAGCATCCGCCAGAGGCTCCATCCTGTAGCCATTCTGAGAGAGCCAGGTTCCTTCCTGATGCCCACCAGGGGCTGACCCTGAACAGAAAACCAAGGTCCCTCCGGGGAGAGCCAAGACCAGAGAAGTGGGAAACCAACTCCTTTGCTCAGGGAGGTGAGTGTAGCCACGGGGCAGGTGTGGGGGCTGCAGACCTGATCAGAATGTTGCCCACGATGATGATGACAATGAGGAGAATGTTGAAGTCTTCATAAAGCGAGGATCCGCAGATCAAGGTTCCCACTTCTCCCCTCCTCACCAACCCCTATAACAGCCCTTGGTCTCCAAGGAAAGCCACACACAGAACCTTCTGGAAGTGGGCAGACTGCCTAGGGCTGTCTTGGGAGCTCTGGTCCGTCACTGTGGTGAGAACCTTCCTATTCCTGTCACTGGGATCACCATGACCTCACTGGCACTATTACTCCTGCCGAATTTCTTCCTCGAACCAGAGGGTCCCACAAACTATCATGCCAGTTAGATAAACTTGAGCTAACTGATTCCAAAACCAGTGTTTTCACCTAAACCCACCCCATAAACCACCTAACAGGGGTCTAAAATGACGAATGCTCTGCTGGTCACAAAACCTTTGCGGAAGGTCCCTGGGCAGGACGGGGGCTTCTAAAGCCCAGAGAGCCGGGACTCAGACCCTCGCTAAGAGCCTGCTCCCAGAGTTGCGAAGCAGCTCACTCCTGGAGGCGAGACCCCGACAGTCTCCCTTGTGGCTGTTACTGTGTAGACGCCACGTCTTCCCTGAAGACCGCATGAACATTGGTAGTTTCTGGGCTTCAGGAGTGCCCGTGTTCGTTCTGGACGCTGGAGCCCCCAAATCTGAGGGAGAGAGGGCCAAAGTCCGTCGCGGGGAACGTCAGATATTATCCTGTGGTCTCAGAAGTCCTCCCCGACTTGGCTTCTGTCCCCAGACGACGGAAGCTGAGACTAGGGTGCAGGCGCACACGTTTCCCGAGCGGTTTCAGAAGAGGGAATCAGCGAAGCAGGATGGGGCGGAGGAAGAAAAAGACAACGCGAGGTTTCTGCTGGAGATTAGCTTCAGGATAAATCACACTACCCCTGTTCCATCTTGAAGGAAGAGGGATGGCCTTTTGTAGCCCCGGTCCGTCACTTACTGGCTATGACATCACCCACGGGCCCCAGGGACACAACCTCCCAGAGAAGCTTGCTCCTTGTGCGGAAGGAGATTCTCCAGAGAAGGGCAGCTGTGAGCCCCTAGCAGCCAACACGCAGCACGGGGCGGGGGGCACCATCCCACCAACACAAACTTGCGTAAGGCCCTGGCGACTCCCCATTACCCTCCGCAAACAATTTATTACTCAGATGAGTCCCCGTAAAGGTCCTCATTCACTCACATTTTCCCTTTCTCATGCTCTGTTGATAGGGAATTAATTCTCGCAGTGATGTCCCCTGACCCCCAGCAACAGCATCACCTGAAAACTTGTTAGAAATGCAGTTTTTAGATCCCTCCCAGACTCACTGAATCAGCAGCTCTGCGGGCGAGAACAGCAATCTCTGATTTAAAAAGCCTTCCAGGTGGTGCCAGTACATGCTAACGTTTGGAGACCCCTGCCCTGGGGAATGGAGGGTGTGCAGAAAATACTGATATTGTGACACAGGATGAATGAAGGGCATGTCTGCTGTCTCTCCGTGGCTACTGGCACCTCTGCTCGGCCTCGGCCACACTGTGTCCCCCGCTCGGCCAGCAGGTGTTCCTAGGACCCCAGGGTCGACATGGACAGTTCGGCCATCCCCTTGGCTTTCAGTGTCCTCAGTCTCTGACTTTTGTGGTTTCCTTGAGGGTCCAAATTCAAGGAGTATTTTCTGACAGACTTCCTCCTCGACCAGACTTTGGTCAGGCTCCTCTGATCGCCCTTCTCGACCAGGCCTGGATCTTGGCCAGCCTTTACCAAGAATCCTGCTAAGTCAGTGTATCTTCTGCCCTTGATCTTAGTGGTGTTCTGTCCACTCCCCTCACTCTGCCTGTTGGCTGTAAGTCCCATGTGTCCCTGCTGTCTTCAGGGCTGAGTTCAGTCTTGTTCCCCCACTGCCATTAAATAAAGTCTTCTTTACTGTTTTAACAAGTCAAAACAATTTCCCTTTAACATATCTTCCCAAAGACTCAGGCATACATTGTGATTTGGAGCCAAGGAGCAGTCTGACTTTCTCTTCTGCCTTCACCACCCCTCCAGCCGACTCATCCATGGCTCTGACTACTGAGCTTTTTCTTGCCCTTTCAATTGTCAGGTCAGAAACGTTACTTTCTTTGGATCTGGGAAGTTCCTGATATTCTATTTTTTTTTTTCCCCTGATAGAGATTCTGCAACCCCTTTCACCGCCCCCCAAATTTTCCCTATGAAACCATACAGACGACCTACCCTTTTATTCTTCTGTGAAAAAGGAAGAGCAACATACTTTTAATTCTTTCAGACACCCTTTGGCCTCTGAAATGCCATGGCCTCAGCCCTGTGTGAAGCATTTCGTGCCCTCAGGGTGACACCTGGAGCATCCAGACAGCTCAGACCAATTTTTAGATGATAAGTTCAGAGGAACTAAAGAAAAGATAACGGAGAATCTTTTTTCAGATCTTTTCTCTTTCTTTCCAATTTCCCTGTTTCTATTCTTGGCCTCCAGCAGGCAAATCAGTAGGAAAAGAAATTGAGTGTCATCTGACAAATTATTTTTGGAGAACCTGATACTCTGATACTTGGAGTCTGATACTCTAACCCTGACAGCCTGAGCCCGGGAGCTCTGTCTTCACCTACGAACCTCAGAATCAGTCATATACAGGACAGTGGCGGCCTGCTCCAGAAACACAGAATGCTCAGCTTGTTGGGCTCATGGAATGGGTGTTTGCTGTGTTACTTGATAATATTCTGATATAGAAAATGGGAAAGCAAATTGGATGGATAAAGCCTATGT